AAGGATCAGGAAAGAAAAAGCAGCAGTTCCCTGTTGTAGATCGGGCACAGTTATGAGCGTGACATGAATCAGCCCATTTACAATTCTACTGTGCTTGAACGAGAAATGTCCCCCTTTTGGGAATGGCCTAAAGACACCACAGTCAGTGGCACTGCCCCGGGGGGAAGAGGAGGTATGGAAACATTGCGGTCCAGAGGGAAGAAATAATGGGAGAGCTACCACCGGTTCCATAATCTAAAACCGAAACAACTGAAGTGAAGAACTTACAAACTTTTTGTCCACTGCTCAGATTTACTGCTTTCTATCAGGCCATACACTAGTTGCAAGACCTTTGAGTTGCATTGGAATTGGAGGGACATTTTCAAGTTGCATTTCAGAGTAGGTTTAAAAGAATTAGCGGAAAGTGACCACATTGATTACCCAAGACAGAAATAGGGAACAAAAAAACTTAGCAAGAGGTTTCTCTCAAAGAGCATCAATAATTTATATTATGGCTAGCAACTCATTCTTGCTTTCCAGCTGAAGCCAGGTTCAGTATAGAAAAAATACAACAACAACAGCAACAACAAAAACTAAACAAAGGAAAAACTAGCTGAAACACAATTGTCGCCTCCAGAGGCTTCTCAGAAGACACAGATTTGTCAGCAGTCTCAAAAGTCTTTGGTCTATATAATAAGACCAGTCAAACCTATCAGGAGCTGGTGTTAAATAACCAATTTTTCCCTGCTTCAGTAGACTGCGTTCTAGGACAGCAATAATCACGGAAACTAGGAAACGAATATACCTTTTACAGGAGACAAAAACAGTTTTTAGAATTAGGAAATGAACGTACCATTAACACAATGGTTGTTTGAATTAAGTAACAAGCTTACTCTCAACAAGAGACAACAATATTTTCAGCAATTAAGAAATGAACGTACCCTTGACACCTGACAACAATTTTAGGAATTCTTCCCTTCCTACAGTAAACTACACTCGACAAACAGCAATAATTGTTCCCTAGCTCAGTATGCACAAGCCGTTTTAACACCATTACATTAAACAACTATTAAGAAAACAGTGGCGAATATAATATTACGTTCATTTTTACATTTAAGTAGATTTCAAGTCTTACAAAAAAGAATATTTCGGAGATAGAGTACTCGGCACAGAGCGCAGAGTGAGAAGGCAAAGAATAAAGGAAAGAAGGAAGAGACCAAAGACTCTTTGTTTTGTATTTTGTTTTGGAAAGTCGTTGTTTTTTTCGACCATCAAGGGATCTTTATCGTGCGTAACTTGCACACGGGACTTCCGAGATTTTTCGCCCGTATCCCAGAAGGCTGGGTATTAGATCTTACCTACTCTAAGATCATGGGTGTGGCTGAAAGACAGCAGTAAGAAGGAGCCAAGGAGTAGCAGTTGAAAGTCTACAGAAAGAGTCAGGAGCCCAGAGGAGGGGGCAAAGGGGGATATGGTGGGGGCAGAAAGTTGAGACGACAGAACATGGTTAGAGAGCACGAAAGGAGATGAAAGAAGAACATTTTAGAGAAAAAAATGTTCCGTCGCTATCAGGTTTCGAATCCGGGACTTATTGAATGATACGCAAACACAGTAACCTTTAGATGACGAGAGCCCCAAACACTTTAGAAATACATAACATGTGTTTCATTCAGGCCACGGTGGTTCGTTTACGTTTAGTTTTTTTCAATGGCGATCTGAAGTAGCGACTATGAGTTGTAGATAAGTACATTGACACAATGACGTGAATAAAATGCTGTGAAAAGAAAGGCAAACAGAAAGAGAAGGAAAGGCAAGAAGCTGGACCAGTAGTACGGTAGTAGTCTGAAATTGCTTGTTCACTGTCCTGCTGTGTGCAATGTGCCTACCCCCCCCCCCCCCCCCAAAACACACACACACACACACACACACACACACACACACACACACACACACACACACACACACACACACACACACACACACAAACCTCATCCAAAACCTCAAACGTGACGGGGTGGAATATAGCTATGCAGACACAGTAAAAGAAGCAGCCTTCCAGTTTCGGACATTTTAAAAAGGACTAGTCCAACGAATCCTTTACTGGCAAGCAAAAAGCAGAAAGTAACAAGGCAGACTATGTTCTATAAATTTGTTTTTACAATTTGCATCTAATGAGGGTTTCTATTTTGGTTGAATGAACCACAAGTCAAACATGGGGAAGGCCCATCCGAATAGAGGGCACCCAAATAGATTTATTTCGTGAGCAGACTTTTTATTTTTTTTCGGTCAAGAGAGAGAGAGAGAGAGAGAGAGAGAGAGAGAGAGAGAGAGAGAGAGAGAGGGGGGGGGGGGAGAGGGGGGAGAGAGAGAGAGAGAGAGAGAGAGAGAGAGAGAGAGAGAGAGGGGGGGGGTGCGCTCACCGGAAATTTGGCTCGTTGGTTCGTGGAGGGACTGAAGGCCTGGGACAGTTTAGAGTCCGTGTTATCTTTATCTCTAGCTTGAAGGTCTGCGCCCAGCTTCACCCTGGTTCCGATACGAGCAGCTGAGTTGTTCACATTGCCCTTCTCCGACAAAGCCGCATCGTTGTCATTGTTGGCCCTCTGTTGCTCAGCGCTCACAAGCTGACGCACCTCATTGGCTGCGCGCTTCGCGGATACCTGGACCACAGCCACGTCATACATGGCGTTGTGCTTATTCCGGGCGTTCTCCTTCTTCTCCCGCTCTTTTTCCTGGATGGGGGAATAACACGAGCAGCATGCAAGACAACATTTACTTTATGCACGGCTGACAGTGAATTTGCGATGTGTATTATTGTCATGCAACAGACACATTAAGAAGAAGGCAATACATACACTAACAAGTAAAAATCAAATTAAAAACAAACAAACAACTTAAATAGAAAATACAGTTGTTGAAATGCACAAGTCCAAAGTGCACTCATAATATACTATTAACGTTCCTAAATCTGGCCTAAGACATGCAAACTTTAAATTCCTTCTAATAAGTAAAGATGTTCTGCGTCTGCCAATCACAACTTTACGTGCTTAAAAATTAATGGGAACGTAAGCCACTAGCGTACCGGTTTGAACGTGGCAACTTATATAATATTATGACACATCAAGCCATAATGTCTGACAAGCTGCCCAAAGTGGTTTTCCGGGTTCACATTGAGATTGAGCTGGTTTGGCTTGAGACCGCTAGCTGCCTAGGCCATTGTCTCTATGAAAAACCGGACCAAACTTTAAGCCTGAATTCAATTAATTTCAAAGTTTATGTCATCTATTACAGTCACATGCCAGTGAAACCGGTCTATGTAGAGGTACTTTCTATACCGGTTACAGGAACTATTCACTCAGCAAACTATAAAAGTCAGGACAGCCAACACTTCTCCTATGATCAAGACGGTGCAGGATTTTTTAAAATACGAAAATCTGTTCACAAACATCAAAAGTTGATTTTGAATCCAGAATTCTCAACACCGATGACCTAGATATATGATGTGGTCTCTTTTGCAACGGGAAAGGGGTTTTCAAAACTTCAATTAGACCAAGCTACATCTAGTGCAGTCCAGATTAGCAAACACCATCTTATAAACCTGTACAAATGTTTATACTTCTATATAGTCTTGCGCTGAAAAAGAAAACACCTACTGAAGCATACTAGAGCAAAAGGAATGCTTTTCAAACATGCTAAGAAGTGGCTAAGGTCTAGTTTTTTATATGTTCAAGGTTGAGTTCATAAAGACAAATTAAATGCCATATTTCACAGAGGCAAGTTTTCGAAACCATGGCAACTGTATCTCTAGTAGTCCTACTAACTACATAAATGAAATACTGAGGTGCGAAAGACAAACACATGAAAAAGATAAGCTCGCTATGTTAGCGTTAGCTTTCCAAGCAAAATAGAAATGTCTGCAATGTAGTAGTTCTACTGGATTATGAGGTGTAGCTTCGGGTCGTGAGTGAGGATGAGTGTCCAAAGCACTTCTTTAAAATAAATGTCAAGAAAGGGCAAAAAAACAAAACAAACTCGGATTTGAAAGCAATGGATAATGGCTATTAAGATAGTGGCTTGAAATATCAACGAAAAGAGACAGAACGGGAAGGATTTCCGTCTACATAACAAAGACAATACAGGTCCAGAGCTAAAAGTATGGAGCAAAGAGGACGAAATCTGAATATACACTGGGGAGGAAACGGGGCGTCCGGGTAGGAACAACAACTTGGGAGACAATCTGTACATTGTGCGGTTCTCAGATCCTGCGAGGTGAGGAGACCTGGAGGGAGGGAGACTACGAATACAGAGAGAGGGCTTTCAGGAACTGAGCAGGAGATGGAACACAGACTCAGGGAGAAAACAGGCATCAAAGGGGGTGGGGTAGCTGAAGATAAAATAGCAGGACAGTGTATGCAGAAAATGACTATCAAATTCTTTTCTTTTTGGACTTACAGCCTCACGTTCCTGGAGAAAAAAATGAAAATACAACACCATAAGAAGACACCAGACAATGTTCAAACAGTCGAAAGGCTACAGAAAACAACTTTATGATAATATATAATAAAGTTCTGCAAAAGTATAAGATAAGAGCACTCTTTGCATATAAAAAGCAAATGTTCATTATTAAACGCATCCTTTCCAAAGCATTGTATTATAAACTATGCAGTCCTACCTAAAGTCAAAGCACCGCTTTGTAGATATTCATACCACCCCCTATCACCACAACCTTTTAAAACAACAACAACAACAACATCAACAACAACAGCGAACAAACAAAACCTACACCATAGACATAAAGGAAGAGTCCACAGAACAGATCTCCGTCACGGAATGAGGTTACTGAAGTAAGCAGACAGCACTTGGAAAAGAAGAACCACACCAGAAGCTTAACCGCTATCAGTCTCTCTACGTGTGTATCACTGTATGCGTAGCCGAAAAAGTTAATACAGCGTGGTGCTGATTTTGGTTGCTTTTTTTCCCTTTCTTTTTATTTTTCGTATTGATTCAGGGTTCGAAAGACTAGCATCCTAATTGTGTAATACTTTTGTGAGAAAGGGTTTTGTTTGTCAAAGAACACAGAATAATAATTATCAAAGTACCGTGAATTTTCTTAGATTAATCGTAGTAGACACTCTCGAAAGCAATGGCAACGAGAAAAACACGCATTTCTTGAAAAAAGCCCAACTCTGACACCTGAAACCAAAATGCATATCTTGACGTCCTGCTCTAAAAACATAAGCAGGAAAGCAAAGAAGACGACAAAATTACAGGGTTTTATGGGGTGAAGTCAGTGTATCACATGGTGGTTTGAATGATATAGACAGGAATCTCAAATTCTTTCTACTAACTGGTGACGATATGGAAGTCTGATCGTACAAACACGTTACAGGCTCATGCACCGATTCTGTTAGTTATGAATCAACGAAAACAAACAACATTTTTTAAATAATTGTGTACGCCACAGGCAGAGAGACCATCTTTACCAAGACTATATGAAGTGTACAAAACAGTATATTATCAATAAAAAATGTACCAATACAAAAAAGTTAGACAAAATGCATGCGATATCATAATTAACAAGCGTTCAGCTAGATGTTATGACCTATGTTCATGCATTTCTACTGTGGCTGCATAAGGGTATTGTATACAAATAAATACAATTCATCAAACCTGTCTGCTTACGATTCGTGACCCGAACATAACTTTCTTGAAGATGGGAAGATACAGAAGAAAATGAAATCAATAAAGAAAATCCAAAACAAAATGAACTAAGAGTCAAAATGTTGTCCAAAGTAGGAAAGAAGAAATAAGTGAAATGAAGATCTCAACCTGGCCAACTTGTTGTACACTTTTCTTTGTCGCAGTAAGATCATTGCAAGCAACCTTATGTGTAGTACTTTTGTCCATTACATACTTTTACATTAATTACATGTCAGTTTAAGAAAATTGGAAACTCCGAAAGACAAAAAGTTGGTTTCAACGAATCAAATACCACAAGTTCATCAGTGGCGAATATATACTAACACTGACTTAGAGGTCTAGCTGATTAAATCTATAGCACGTTTCGGCTGACCTAACATACGTAATGCCACTACACTAGTCATAGCCTAGACTTGTCAATAGAAAAAGAGAGGAGCTGTATGTGCGCTCCAGTCACATCCATTCTTTGCAAATATGAGTCAGGAATAAAAAAAACAATCTTGATCAGAGCAAGACCTACAAAAAATAAACCATTCATTTGTAAAACAAAATCAAGGGATAATATTTTTTCTGCAATAATGAAAGAAAATATAATAAAAATAATATAATATGCTCTGTACATTTGAGTCATATACGGCGTCAACAGTAAAAACACAATCGATGCAAAATAAGAGTACAAATATTCACTCTCTGACAGAGCTTGACACACACGAAATTCAAATGAACATTGTAAGGCACTCTTAAGAAATAATCAATTGTCATACTAGAGAATCCAGTGCAAACGAAAAAAAATCACATTACCTTTCCTGCGCTGAGAGCTTCCTCTTCATAGGACATTGAAACAACAGCCAGCATCAGGTTGATGAGGTAAAAGGACCCAAAGAATATGACAATGATAAAGTAAATCACATTCCACGGTCCTGTCGCTCGAATCACCTGTAAGGCGGAGGAAAAGGTGTTAATAAGCAATTCCCTTTTCGCACACCCCCCACTTTATAAAATCAAATCAATTCATGAAATAATTGCAAAATATTTAATGTCACTGACTTCGCTGCGCTAAAAATACTGAGAGGTGAAAGAGTAAAATGACAATATTTTTTATTCTGTAACTAATTATCGAGAACATAAGGTAGAATATTGGATTTATAAGACATGCTTTATTAGCTTCATACTGTCGTTGAAGCTTTATAAAAATATACCAATTTGTGTTATTCATGAGCATTCAATATCAACTCTGTGCTCTAGAAAGGTCAACAAATAAAAGTGGGATAAAACAAATCAGTAAAAATAAAAACACCCCAAAAACTCATGCACTCAACCCGTTAATTATGAATCAATGAAACAAATTTAGTTTTTAAATACATCTTTTAACAATCAATAATGCAACAATTTATGCTCTAATCTAAAAAAAAAAAAAAGTCTGACAAAAATGTAACGGGACACAAGGCAGGAGCTAAACTCTGTGACAGTAGAGTACATTAATAATCCTTTGTCGACTGACCTTCCCGTAAATATCCTCCCAAAAGTCGAGGGTGATCAGCTGGAAACACGTGAGCAGAGCCCAGCCAAAGTGGTCAAAGTTGAGGTACCCGTAGCGTGGGTTGTCCCCCACATCGCCCAGGCACGTGTAGTTGTCAGGACACGTGCTGTGGAGCAGAGTGAGCACAGTTACAAAACTGGCCTATTTTGAACTTCCATACTGCCCTGATTTGATGAAACGCATTTTTTAAAATCTGCCTATCGACCATCCATATTCTGTTTTTTGTTTGTTTTGTTTGTTTTTGTAAAGTGTTTTACGGCGCTCGCAACTGCATAAGGTCATATGAGCGCGCGGGACACACCTAATATTTTCAATTGGTAGGAAATTTTGAATTTTGCCCAGGTGGCGGCCAAAGCCTACTCTTATTGAGTTTAGACCACCAAGGGATCTTTAACGTGCGCAACTTGCACACGGGCCCTCCGAGATTTTTCGCCATTGTCCGAGAAGGGTAGGTGTAGATCTTTCCTACCAGAAGATCAGGGGAGTGGCAGAAAGACTGCAGTAAGGAGGAGCCAAGGAGTAGCAGTAGAAAGGCTGCAGAAATAATCAGGAGCCCAGAGGAGGGGGCAAAGGAGGTGAGGGGGTGGGGGAAGAAAGTGGAAATGAAAGCAGACAACAGAACATTGCTAGAGAGCAGAAAAGGAGGTGAGAGGAGACAATTTTAGAGAAGAAAATCTTTTGGTCGCTACCCGGATTCGAACCCGGGACCTTTGAATGAGAGGCCAACACCTTAACCTCCAGGCCACGAGAGCCCCCATCCATATTCAACTGTGATATGATGAAACGCATTTTCTTGTCAATCTCGGTCGCTACCTTAGAATTACAAAGTTCTATCTGACAATTTAGGCCGTTTTGAGTTACTAACACCATGTGGTCAGAAACTAAATGTTCTATCTGCTCAGTCAAATTCGTAAGATTATTCGGAGTCTTTATCAAGATATTCAAGGAGCTGCATTAGAAAAAGCTTGACATGTTGTGATACTCAAAATGTTAAACGTTAAATTTCTCAAAACTAAGTACTGAGCTGATTGAACTTTGTAAATCTAAGGTAGTGATTTGTCATTGTCTTTTCTTTAACACCAACAGTAACATCGCTTCTGAGAGTACAGGCTTTGTTTGTTTGTTTAGTATAGGGTTTTACGGCGCTCGCAACTGCATAAGGTCATATGAGCGCGCGGGACACACCTAATACTTTTTCGTTGGTAGGAAATTTTGAATTTTGCCCGGGTGGTACAGGCTTTGAACTGTTCAAGCCAAGGTTACGTCTTAAAATAATTACCCCTTGATTTAAGTTCAGGGCATTTGTGCCTTTAGTAATAAAAAAAATAACGATAACAAAAGAACAACATCAACAATGGTAACGTAGTAATGGTCTTCATATTACTAATATTACTAAGGACATTTATCACAATTCTAAAATTAATAATAATAATAATAATAATAATGACAACAACAATATCAATAATATCTATGGCCTTTTGTGTCTTGACAGACGATCACAAACCAATATTGCACGATACAGCTTTGCCCGGGGCGGTAGACATAGGAACATTTTTAAGTAGCAGACTGCCCAAGAACTACTCCCCTCTTTTCCGATATTGATTTCCTTAATATACCCCAAAGGAGACACGCAGCCAATACGCATAGGATCAAGGAAATTACCATTACAATACCAATAATAATGTTTATTATCATAATGGTATGACGATATATGTACATAACATTGATACTACTACTACCATAGCTTTTCCCTTCGTTAGTCTTACAGCAACGTTTTTCTCTCACGCACCATTGCGCATCAAGCTATAGGTTAACATAAATACATTTTGTTTCCAGTGTTATCATTGTTTTTATCACGTTCCTGAAGAAGCCCACAAGGGCAAAACATTGAACACATTTTATGATGTCATAAAACTATAGTCCCCACTGACTGTTTTCTTTTTTCGCATCATGTTTATTAAAATGATAATGATGATAGTGATGATGATGATGATGATGATGATGATGATGATGATGATGATGATGATGATGACGATGATGATGATGATGATGATGATGATGATGATGATGATACTCCAGCTCCTATTTTTACTGTTACTATTGATGCAACTGTTACAACTGATGCAGCAAATGCTGCCATTGCTGATGCTATCAAACTACTTACTACAAGAACCAATCCACTTAAAACGAGCCCACTTTATCTATCATATTGAAGGGAATAATATCTCAAAACGAAAAAAACCCAAAGTGCAGAGCAAACGATTAAAAAAGTATACCCTGATCCACTGTTGTTGCCACATATAACATATTCGTCATCCGACAGGTACCAGTTGTCTGCAAAAAAGAAGGAAAAAAATATTTAAAACGTCTTAGGAATCAAAAGTGGGGGCACTACAAATGTTTAAACCTTCTTCAAACATGAAATATGACAATAACGGTTTTTCTTGGCATCGAACAGGCTGCTACAAACATGGCAGTAGAAACCGTGAATTAATATGACGCAGGGAGCCCAAACGATACGTGTTTTGTGTGCAGGCACACAACAAAAAAAAACTATTTAAAAAAACTTTAAAAAAACAACTAACAAAAAAAACCCCCAAAAACAACCCCCCCCCCTCCACACACACACAATCCAAACTTAAAATCACATATTTGTGCACACATGGACATGCACACACGCAGACACGCACGCCGACATCCACACAAACAAAAACAAAACAAACAAACAAACAACAAAACTCACGCAGTTGTGTGCCTATGAGCATGCTCACACACATGAACACACATATGCTTGAGCGCGTGCGTACATACACACACACACACACACACACACACACACACACACACACACACACACACA